GATTTTAGAATTTTTGCTTCATAAATACAATTTTAAAATTGTGAGTCTTTAAGTTTTAAAGACAACTATTAAAATGCACTTACTTTTTTTTTTTAAGATTTTATTTATTTTTGACAGAGAGAGAGAGTGTACAAGCAGGGGAAGCAGCAACCAAAGGGAGAGGGAGAAGCTGAGCAGGGAGCCCAATGTGGGGCTTGATCCCAGAACCCTGAGATCATGACTTGAGCCGAAGGCAGATGCTTAACCGTCTGAGCCCCCTAAGCGCCCCTAAAATGCATTTACTTTATAAATTGAATATTAGTTTTTAAAATGCAAGTATCAAAGGACACCTGGCAGGCTCAGTCTGTAGAGCATTCAACTCTTGATCTTGGGGTCATGAGTTCAAGCCTTATGCTGGGTGTTGAGCCTACTTAAAAAAAATGCAGGCGCCTGGGTGGCTCAGTTGATTAAATGTCTGCTTTTGGTTCAGGTCATGATCCCAGGGTCCTGGGATGGAGCCCTGCTCAGGCTCTCTGCTCAGTGGGGAGCCTACTTCTCCCTCTCCCTCTGCCTGCTGCTCTGCCTACTTGTGTTCTCTGTCAAATAAAGAGATAAAATCTTTTTTAAAAAATAAAATAGACATTTGTTTAAAAAAAATGCAGGGGTGCATGTGTGGCTCAGTCGGTTAAGAATCTGACTTGGTCTCAGCTCAGATCTCGATCTGAGAGTTGTTGAGTTCAAGCCTTGCTTAGGGGTCCATCTTGGGTGTGGAACCTACTTAATTAAAAAAAAAAATGCAAGTATCAAAAATAGCACTCTCTGCCCATAAAAGTCATACACTGATATCAAAAAACATTGGCATAATGTATTTTTTTTTTTAAGATTTTATTTATTTATTTGAGAGAGAGAAACAGCATGAGAGGGGAGAGGGTCAGAGGGAGAAGCAGGCTCCCCGCTGAGCTGGGAGCCCGATGTGGGACTCGATCCCAGGACTCTGGGATCATGACCTGAGCTGAAGGCAGTCGCTTAACCAACTGAGCCACCCAGGCGCCCCATAATGTATTTTTTTTTAAAGATTTTATTTATTTGACAGAGAGACAGTGAGAGAGGGAACACAAGCAGGCAGAGTGGGAGAGGGAGAAGCAGGCTTCCCTCGGAGCAGGGAGCCCAATGCAGGGCTCGATCCCAGAACCCTGGGATCATGACCTGAGCCAAAGGCAGACCCTTAACAACTGAGCCACCCAGGCACCCCATGGCAGAATGTATTTTTAAGATTTTAAGTAATCTCTACATGCAACATGGGGCTCGAACTCACAACTCTGAAATGAAGAGTTGTATGCTCCACAGACTGAGCCAGCCAGGTGAGATGACATTGGCAAAATATTTTAAATTTAAAGTCAAATTCTCTATCTATTACCTCCTCTATTCCAGGCTTTTGGTTATTCTGTGACCTCTTCTCTGTAAGTTATAAAACAGAATAATATTTTTGATGGTGGAGATGATTTAAACCAATGACGTTTTGGTTCAAATGAGAACAAAATGATGAAAGGGGAATTAATTTACACAGAATGTCCATAAGCCAGACAGAGACAGGCTTTGCAAAATGAATGAAAAACATATTATGTTAATATTTTCTTTTAAACATAAAAAATACTTTTGTTTTAGAGAAGAGTCTTCCAGCTGATGTTTCTTGATTGTGCTCTAAATTTCCAGGTTCACTCTGATCATCCTTGAACAGAAAACAATTTAAGAGATATTCAATAATCAAGTGACTGAAAGCTTAAAACTTTCCTATTCCCAAATAAGTCTAGAGGTTAAAGTCAAATTGTGTTGTCATGTTCCCAAACAAACAAATTATTAAGTGACCACCTTTTTGGTTTGATATTTGCCCAATTAACAAGTCACAATAATAGAATTAAAGAAGCAAAGAGAAGGCAAAGGTTAGCTTTGTTTTTTTTTTTGTTAGCTTGAGCATATTATGCTTTAATGTTCTGTGATGATTTTCAATACTTAAAAAATTTAAAAGAGGATCTGAATTTTCAGGAAAAGGAGTAAGGGAATATTACTATGTAACATCTATTAATCCTCTAAGAGAAACACCTGTGTGGAAAATTAACCAGAAGTGTAAAGTCCCTTTACACTTACATTTCCTCTAAATAATTGTTTAGCAATAACAGAAGTTAGCTTTCCTGAGGATTAAATATTTGCCAGGTACTTTACAGACACTATCTCATTTAATCCTCACTGTACTCCTATTAGGTCTTCATTCATTTATTGAGTGTCCTCCTGGCTGGGCACCAGGCTAAACACTGAGAATTCAGTTGTGAGCATTATCAACCTGAGCATTATCAGCCTAGGTCAATCTCAAGAAGCTTAGCCTAGTAATTATGCTACCCCCTTCTTCATAAGAGGAAATGGAGGATAGGCTCTGAGAGATTAATTTACTTGTCCAAGGTCACACAGTGTTGGAGCAGCTTACAAGAACCAAATTATCTCATGTCAAATCTTAACCCTCAATAGCTAAGCTGTTAATAGACTTACCTGTAGGATTTTTTGGTTGTAAGTCCTCTAATGTTTTTCAAATATTTTTTTTCAAGTATTTTTATCTTGGAGGAAAAAGCCTTATAGTCAACCTCTCTGCTGCCTCTTTTTCATAGTGTTGACCAGAGAACAGGTGGTGCTTGTATACTCTTAACTGCCAGGTATTTGGGAAACTTAAGGGGCGAGAAGCCAAGTCCCAAGGGAATGGGAGACATTTTTGAAGAAACAATAGCAACCCGACACAAGGCCAGACTATAAAATCCAGGGCATAAAGCTGATCCATTGCCAAGGGAAGCAGTTTGTTTTTTCACCTTCTCTTTGCTTTTCTCCACTATTTCCAAGGGTCTTTAGTTAGTCGTGCCTAGCTAGCCCACTGGCTCCAAAAGGCCGGAATATCTAATTTTTATTCTACACCCATAGCCTCCTAGCCCCATACGGTCTTTTCTTGCCTTCCCTTTTACATGCTTTTCACTTCTTCACTCTTGGCGGAGAATCTATACATGGCGCTTTTCGTTGCATTCTATCGCCATATGGACTAGGTTCCCTTATGGCGACCTTGACAGACACCAGGGTGGGAGGCCCGGGGGAGGGGAAAGGCGGTCAGCGCTGGGAGAAAAACCTTCAGATAGCTGTGAGGAGGCGCCACAAAGAGGAGGCGACCACCGAGCTCCACTCAGCGTTCAGTTTTTAAAAAGATTGACAGGAACTGTACCAACTGTCTTTGCTCTAGCGTCTTGCGCGGTCTCGCGAGATACGGACGTCCATGTGGAGGGGGTGTCAAAGGCTCCGCTCTGAGTGGGGGATGGGAATATCTGTGGCGCAATCATTGCGCGAGATTGGGCCATGGTCGCTGGGGCCATGCTTATATCTCGCGATATTTCAGCTGCTCCTGTCTGGAACTAGAGGCAGCTTCTCGCGAGAGCCCGTGCTGAGAGCTCTGTGAGACCCCGTGTTTGTGTGTGTATGTGTGTTGGTGGATGTGAGTACGGGGAAGCAGCGGCCGCCATTTCAGAGAGCTTGCTGAAGCTGTCGCAGGGGTGGATCCTGAGCTGCCGAAGCCGCCGTCCTGAACTTCCGCGCGGGCTCCTTTAATCCCATTGTTTCTTTTAGATTCGCTCGGGCCTATCCGCCCTCGGAGCCCGAAATTCGGGCTGGGCGGAACCTCGGCCTGGGCCTAGCGGCTTAACAGTAGCAACAGCGGCAGCAGCAGCAGCCCCCCTCTTTCCGAATACAAGCATCCCAGGGGCCCGAAAGCCCGCACAGGTAAGGAGATGTCGCAGGCCTGTGTATTGTCAGAGCTTTTCAGAGATCTGGTTTTCGTCTGGTTTGAGGGGCACTCCTTAGGCGGTCTTTGACGACTCCGGGGGGCGGGGGCGGGGGGGGGGCTCGAGAAATCGGCTCCATTTCGGCGACCGCGCCCTTATTTTCCGGTCGTATAGATTTCATGGTCTTTGGGTGGCAGGGACTCCAGAGAGGCTTCGGGCGGATGGCGACCGTTTCCTTCTAGGCCTGGCCGGCCGCGACCTCCCAACATGGCGCCAGCCGAACGCTACCATGGCACACAACCCCTCCCAACCGAGGGAGTTTCCCTTTGCCCCTAAAATGGCAGCGCGGGTTTTGCGCGGAAAGAGGCGCTCTTACTCGCGCGCGGGTTCTGTTTTTGCAGTTAATTGTGGGCTTTTTTTTTTTTAATCGTACATTTAATGTATTTCCGTGTGTTCAGTCTTGGAGACATTTCAGATTTAATTACTAAGCCTGGTAAAGTGCATCCTGCCACTTTAGTCATTCCAGGGCTTTTTGAAGGTTTTTCTGAAGTTTCGGAGTTTGTCGCATAAGGAGGAGACTGATCGGAATTGAAAAATGTTTACTCACTGAATTACCTTTCTTATTTTCTAGACGTTTAGAGAAAATGGCAGACGATATTGATATTGAAGCAATGCTTGAGGCTCCTTACAAGAAGGTGAGAAAAAACATGTCGGTGAGGTTTATATATTTCTTAATTTAGCATTATCACGAAACTACTGCTGAAATGTAAACTAACCTCCCCGGAGCCCTCTTGATTTATCTTATCAGAGATGCATTACGTGTAACTTAGAAAAGTAAATATATGCTATTGATGTAATAATATTGTGCAGTAGTTTCACTTCAGCGTGATGAATAAATGCCCATCTATCTCTCTTTGTAGACTTGCCTAACGATATCTCACCTCTACTCCCATGAATTCACCTTTGATTCCAGTGTGAACTGTCAATCATAAGGTAGTAATTGAGTGACTTATCGCTGTACCGTGGTCCCCTAGGTAAAATGACTCAACTAAGAATTACCAGCTCCAGTTTGGTATAGCAAAAAGGTGAATGTAGTGGTTTGGGAAAATAGCAGGGGTCCAAGAATAACAAAGCATAACCAGTCTGTGGCAAGCAAATCTTTAAGTTTTACAAGAAATGGGTGAGATTTAAAATTTTTTTATATATATATATATGACTGGTGATAGTAAATAATGAAACAGGCAGGTGATGATCTGCTCAGTTAAAAATTACTGAAATTCTTGGATCCCTGAATAGAAAAATTTTTTAAAGCAAAGGAGGCAGTATCACAACTTAGAGTCACTTGATGACTGTTTTACTGTGCTCCGTGTTGTTTTATTTTTAATTAGTCCCTGCCATAATATTTCACACTAAAAGCTACAAAGGAATTATTTTGGCTAGTAGTATAGTCTGACCCATTTTAGTATCACAGTAAAAGTTAAGTGTCTTTTCATTCTTTCACCAGTTGGTGGTGAAAATAGCAGTATGCATGCATTATCACTGGTGTCGCAAATTGTAAGCTTTGAGTTGTTAGCACTTATACTTCTATAACTGATGTGATCAAACTTTAAAAATAAACATTGCTCTAAACCTTTTGAAATAATACATCTGTTTTTGGAGTGTGTAGCACGACCATGTGGTACCAATTTGGAAGAATTCTTTTTAGTTTAAATAGTGTATGTAGTTTTATAATGCTTAGACTCGAAGAACTACTTTCTGTTTTAATGTTAAGATTCTTGTGTCTTAGTTTAACATGGATGTAATTCCATGTAAACAGGTATGGAAGTAGGAAATGTTTAGGCTGGACTGGTGGATTATTAATTGACTTTCTTGGGTTCTTGGGAGTCAACATTACTAAAGCAGTGTGAATCCCTGTTTGCTTCAGGGCGAGATGTGTGACAGAGGTGGCATCAAGCTCTTACAGTCCCAACCCTCCAACGGAAATGGGCGAAGATCTCAGGAATGGCATCGGTCACAGGAAATCGATAGTGGCTGGCTGCTAGCATGGCCACTTGGGGCTTAGGCAGAAATAGAGCCATGGTACTGACCAAAGGGACCATAGCACATGGAATAAAACTCAAAACAGGACTTCATTCATGTTTTATAGAAATTCTATTTAACCACTTCAACCCTGTAAATCTGGATAGCTTAATATCTAACTATATAAGAAAGTAAAATTTAACATGTTAATATGCATTTTTATTTTTGTATCTTGATGACTTAATTGTAAGCAACAAAGTGGTTAAACACATACCCATCTAAATTTTTTTATAGCCTTCCATGTTAAACTATAAACAAGTAATTAGTTTTAAAATTGTTTTGTATTTTCTTATTCCTATTCCCTTTACCCTTTGACAACTTGAAATGTTACCACTTCGTCCTCATGATGTTCTTCTATCAACCCTGCTTAGGATGAGAACAAGTTGAGCAGTGCTAACGGCCATGAAGAACGTAGCAAAAAGTAAGTTATAAGAAGGGACCTGGGGTGGGGGGGACGCTTAATGCGATTAAGATCTTAAGTTGTGTTCCTGTGGCTGTAGCATCAAACTAAAAGTTCTCTTCAGAAGCTTTTTCCTTGTCTCTCTTAGAAAAGTCGTTCTTTACCTTCTGAAGGGATGAGAAACTATTTGAGGATATGGATTCTCTCCGTAGATTTCAGGATACAGTTTCAGGGACCTTTTGGGCACCTTCCCCTCCAAGTCTGTCCATGACAATCTGGATAAGAGTTCCTGTATTAGAGTTTGTCTTTTGTCTTAAATTTATAAACTTCGGCTTAATATTTTGGTGGTGTGTTATCAACAAATAACCAGCCCATGGAAAATACTGTTTGCTCTAAATCACAGGAGTCAGAGCTGTGAATTATATTGATGCTCCTTGCTGCTTAAAGGCCCTTTTTGTAGCAACATTATAGCATACTTAAGTACTTTTAGCCTTTAACGTGGCTTTTGTTGTTTTAAGCTTTTAAAACTCTAACAGACTTAAATATTGAAAATGGAGTTTTTTAAAAAATTGTGCATATTAATGCAATTTACTAGGTTAAATGTGTAACCCATAACAATGAACTCAGTGCTACAGACTAGTATAGAATAGAGTATATGATAAGTCTCAATGACTGTATAAGCTAGAACCACTTTATAAAGTCAGATCCTATTTTTGGAGTATTCTCTAAAAATTAGTGATTCTTAACATCATGTGGTCATGTTACAAGCATTAAATTGTTTTAGTAGCCTATTTTGTGATGTCATTAAAATAATCTGTCATGTACATGACGCCATCTAATGAAAAACAGTAATAAAATGATAACATAGCCACTTACTTTTTTTTTTTTTTTTTTGGCTCTTTTCCTAATAAGAGCTCAAAATGCTTCATAATACGCTACCTCAACATCCTCACAACTTTGTTAGGTAGGTTGATGAGAAAATTCTTAGGTTGGATTATGCAGGCTTTGTTACGCTGGTTTTTTTAATTTTTAAAATTCCCCTAAATGTAGTAATGGATTTAAAATGATGCAGTTTGTAGAAAATGTCTTACTTTTTTTTTTGTTGTTGTTCAAAGTTGGGTAGAGGATCTGTTACAGTCTAATCACAACAGATTGTGGGAATTAATCACCTGAGGTTTAGTCTTGAATTGTTATGGTTTAAGGTAATCAACCAATTATTGCATGGTTTAATGTCACCTGGTTTTAGATGTTTTACCAAAGTAAGTTTCCTAATTAACGGTTTTAAATTACCCAATTCGTAATGAAAACCTAGGAAGGAGTATCCACATAAATTGAAATTATCCAATCTAGGTATCAGCCCTGTTGGGTGGGTAAAGATCTCATCCTAAGTGCCAAAACAATGAGGACATGCACTTTGGGCACAGAGTTTTCTTTGTTCAACCATTCTCAGATGTCACTCCTTGCTACTAACTCGATCTCCAGTTTATACTTGTTTTCATTCTGCATCTAAGCTCATTAAGGCTACCAAGCTTTTACAGGAAATTTAGCATCAAGCTCTCTATGACTGATGCTTTGTGGCCTTTATTTAATGTAAGTAGTCTTGTGACACTGAATAAAAGAATGGAAAATTTTCTTTCATTGGCTATAGGATAGCCAATTTAAGGGAACGTCCTTTTGAAACATCCCAACTACCATTTAGTATCTTTTTAAATGTACAAATTATTTCTGTCATACTTCTCATTCTCAGTTAAAGCTGCTTAAATAAACGGCTTTTTTGTTCAATCAGGAACTTGTCACCCATTTTTCTAAAGGGAATTGATCTTTCAAATTAATTTCAAAGTTATCTAGAAGAAAATTCGTATTTAAGGTTAGATAAAATGTAAAACAAATAGAGTGTTCTGTGCTTTAGTGTTCTGCATAAATTCTCTTAAAGGAAAGTGCCACGTTGCATTTTTCATCCTAAAACTTCATTGTCTTAAAAGCAGTTGAGTGTTGCGATATAGTTTTAAGGTAGTAGGAAAATGCACATTCTGAGAAACTGAGTTTACCAACTAGTAAATGTTTTCTTTAAAAATAGTTCTGATTCTCAATACGTACACTCAGTTGTATTCTGGTAGTAGTGGAAGGAACTAAGTTAAATATAACACAAATTGGTTATCAATTAGCCGCCTTTCTGAAGAGCTGTACCCCTGAGTTTGGCAAGACTTCAAAGTATACCTTTTAAGTATCTGAGCTTGCCTTCATGGGAGTACGATTTGTTAGTGTAACCATTTTTGGAAAATCTAAACCAGCGTCCATTTAGTTAAGCTCTTTAGGAATTACTCAAAAAGGATAACAATAAAATGACACAGTTGAAATATATTGGCTACTGTGTGTGGATTATCTATAAATTTTGGAATAAATGACTTTTCTATTTTTTTTCTTATTTTCCAGAGTACTTTGCATTTAAATTTTAGATCTTCTTACATGGAAGAGGTCAAATCCAGTTATAGCAAAACACCTTTACAGCAGAGGCCATATAACCAAAAAGTCCAAAGGCCCAGCCCAGTGGACCATTTACTTCAATGATGTTCAGTACAAAATTCCACTGCCACTAAAGACTTTGGAAAGTCCCTTTTAAGTTGTAACAGGATTTGACTATTAGTGTGGATTTAATAACTCTTCTTTAGTTAACTTAATGTTCTTTTAAGCTGCATTTTGTTATAGAGAAGAATACTGCTTTCTTAAATTTTTGTCTGGGCTTTTATGAAGAGGATCGTGCTTCTGAATGTCTTATTAGTATGTTGCTGTGTTTTTACCTGTCTGGGGTTGCCTTCAGATGTGGGTGGGGACTCATTTGTAAAAAGTTCTAGGAAGACTTTTAGTTGAAGTTAGCTCTCCGATTTTCCAGTCTTTTCCTTTGGCAGAATAAGTTTTGGGCCTAAAAAAAGGTAGATTGGGAGGTTGGCTGCCTCTCTGCTGTGGGCCTTCTATGAGCAGAGCAATACTTTGTCTGTCCTTTGTGGGCGATGGAGTTACTTTGTCCCCTGATTGATTATATTTAGGACTTCTGATTATAGCTATCTCACAGAATTCATAGGCTAAGACATAGTGTCAGGTGTTTCAGGCAACAAAGTTGGAATGTAATCTGTTGCCCTTCTGGGCATTGCTTTGATGACTTCTATATAAATAATGAGTGTAGCCTAATTTTCTGTCATGTGCTACCTAGCATATACATTTCTGACAGTCAGGTGGATTATCTTGAAATTTTAGACAAAGTTTCTGCCTCCTTGGAAAGCTCTACATCTCCTTGTGATTGGAGTGTGGGTTTCAAGATTCCAGAAGGTGGGTGTCTTCATTTTCTATTTTCAATGCACTCTAAGATGACCTGCTTACAGGTTCTCTGAGGCAGACTTCAATTGCTCTTTTGCTAACTTTGCTTTGATAAGGACTAAAGAGTTTAATTAAATTTTCCAAATGATGTAGAGTTGTCAAAATGTTTATCTTTTTAGCCACTACAAATTGACATTTTAGCGGAATAAGTTTATTTTTAAATGTCTTTGAATTTATATTGAAATATCTGAAGGCACCTCTAAAATTTGGGTGATGACAGAGATACAGATGGTAAGATTTAATTATGAAATGAATGGGTGGTATACTGTGAGGAATACAGAAATGAACAGAAAGATATGACTGACTGGCTTTTTTACTTTTCAGAGTTTGAGATACTATAAAGATTGATAAAGGTGTTGATCCTTGTTTTTGATTGCACCCCACAGGCTTGTATAAACTGGCATGCTCCATTTTCTGGTGTACTCATTATAACATTAAATAGATATATCTGAAAAGGTCACAAAAGTTCTAGGTGTGTCAGAATGCATGTCATTGCATTAGTTTTATTGTTCTTTGTCAGTACTTGGAAGTTTGCCCATGAAAACCAAAGTATTGATGCTTGTATGACCCTTTGAAGTAGAAAATATTCGTATGTGTAGATTGGGTCAAAATTGGCTCACATAAAGGAAGTTAGTGGTTTTAATGAAAAATTTTTTATATGACCCACTATTACTTAAATGTTAATATATTCTCTTGTAACTTTGATTTTTATTGCTGTATCTAGTGGATTACAGTAATAACTCGTTGGCCAGTTACATGTTGGTCAAACGGTTTAAAAGTTCAGGTTTTTATCTACCTCCCAACAAATGATTTCATTGTTAAAGCTGTAACTGACTCTCAGGTCTCTGGAGCGATCACTACAGTTCCCTGCTCTCAACTGATTGTCAACTGACTGCTGATTTTCAGTAGTAGAAGGCAAAGGTGGGGTGCTATTTACCTTACCTAGGAATTATTTTTCCATAAGTATGATTATGTATCATTGTATAATAGTAAAAATAGCAAGATAAACTTACAAAAAGATTTAAAAGATTTCTGACCATAAAAGGAAGTATATTTTGACAGTTTCTTAAACCAGCAAGATAATGGTAATTTTTTTTCTTCTCAGGAGGAAAAAAAGCAAGAGCAGAAGTCGTAGTCATGAACGAAAAAGAAGCAAAAGTAAGGAACGGAAACGAAGTAGAGATAGAGAAAGGAAAAAGAGCAAAAGCCGTGAAAGGAAGCGAAGTAGGAGTAAAGAAAGGAGACGGAGCCGCTCAAGAAGTCGAGATCGCAGATTCAGAGGCCGCTACAGAAGTCCTTAGTATGTAACTATAATTATGATGATTTTGGTTTGAGAGTCATTCTCTGGGTATCCAGAAAACAATTAAACCTGCGTAATTTGCATTGTAAAATTTGTTTTTCAATATGAGTAGTTAAAAAGCATTAAATAAGGATATTGGCATTGAAAAGACTAGCAAAGTAGAAATATAGTGTGTGGACCAATACTTTCGTTTTACTAGGCATACAGATTATTTTTTGTTACTCCATCTAAAATATTTTAACTGTATGCCAGTCTAAACTAGACCAAAGCACTAGAGTGCTTAAAAGACTTGATACTGTAGTGCCAAATATTTGAAAGCTTAAAAGGTATGTGAGCTATTTCAGATACTCTTTGCTGAACATAAATTTAAAATTTTTAAAGCCCAAATAGATAAGTTATAAATACATATAATTAGTGAAATATGTAATTTGGCTGTTTTTCAGCTGAAATGACAGATCCTTTGTGAATTTGGTGTTTGCTCCTTGATAATGATGAATTTTGGGGCTCATCACATTTATATTTAAGGTTTTTAAAAATAGTAAAATACTAAAGTGCTTTGAAATCACTATGGAAATTTGGTTTAACAAATTGGAAACCTGTTCTATTATGTCATTTAAAAAGCTATGTTAAGTTTGGAAGGAACGTACCTACAACTCTTAGGCAAGGATTGAATCTAGCAGTCCTTAGCCCTTTTTAACCTTGTTTTCTTCTTAATGAATATATTGTAAACTGTGGGGGAATGTATTAAAATTAGCACTCATAATTAGCACTTGAATGGTTGGAATTGGACTTGAAAGACAGACCTGAATAAGAGTTTTGACTCTTCTACTTGGACAAGTTAACACTCTCAGCTTTAGTTTTCTCATCTTTTAAGAAAGAGGTAACAACTGACAGATGAACTTTAATGAGTATTGAATCAACAAGAGAATGAAAATAAAGGACCCACAATACTTAACTACTACTCATGAAACGCTTGGGTATTATTTGCGGCCATTAAAGTTAGTAACACTTTGGGTTCTGATTCTGGCTCTTTAACCTTTAAATAAAAAGGATTGGACTCCTTGTTCTCTAAGTTCCTCCTAGCTGCTTATTTCACAACATTTAAGAGCTGAAAGAGGACCACAGTGTTTTAATTCCGAATGATTAATAATACTTATTTGGTCTAATTTACTAAAACTTACCATATTTGTTTTTACCAGAATTAAATAGGAGGAAAGGGATTACCTTAATAAATTCTGTATTATTTATCTCTTGTTTTAGTGATAAATACTTGAAGTCGGCCTATAATCCTGGTTTGACTTAAAAATGATTTAGTTCTTATGTGTAGTTTCATGTGATCTTTAATTTATTCAGTAAATTTATATTCTTAATTGTGACTATTAGTCTGAATTGTGAAGGACCCAATTAATACAAAATTTTACTTGGAGATGCTTGGGTGTTGGCAGGTATACTTAGAGTCCATGAAAATGAGTCCAAATGTGGATCACATACCACTAGATACTTTGATTTTGCTACCCTTCTTGAAAAGGAGAGTAGGATGAGCACTAAGGGACATCTGACCTGTCCCTTTAAGTTAATTTGGTCTTTCAAAATTAAAAAAAAGGCCCCCAAACTATTAGGCCTTTTTGGAATTCAGAATAAAACTGGATCTTAGAAAAATGTTATGATGTCTTTTGAAAATATTCCTTTATTATATAGTCAAGTTGACAAAAAATTTTTGAAATACTAATTTATTTTTTTCACCTCTTTACTACGGAATATTTTGTCACAAAGAAGTGAAGTATGACACAAACTGCTTTCATGCAATCTCTGAGATGTACTGTTAAATGGTATAGTTGGGAGTTTCATGATAAGAAAGAATTAGTCCCCTTTTAAAAATTCCTCAAACAAGAAAACATTATGTATGAATTTTGTGTATATACAAATATATAAATACATAAATTCCTGGGAACGGATCTGCAAAGATACACACCAAATTGTTAACTGTAGTTATCCTGGTGTGAGGGAAATTCAGGGTGATTTATTTTCACTTTAAAAAAATATCCTCAGGAATGTATTCATAAATGTGTAATTAAGAAAAAACAATAGACTGAAAATGATAGAATTTTCAGAATCTTAACAATATTGAGGCTGTAACCTTTGGTCTCGGCACCTCTCAGTGGTCCAGGATGGATAACTATAAGAGCAGTTGCCTGGGATAGAGTTAAGAAAAAAAAAGTCTTTAATTTCCTCTTCATAATTGAGGTGGAAAAAATCAGCCTAAACAATGTTAAACTTGCTGGAGAGCGCATGAACTCGATCTTAGCAAGACCCTAACCCTGTAACTAGTGTAATTTTGTGTTTCCTTTTTAGCTCCGGACCAAAATTTAACAGTGCCATCCGAGGAAAGATTGGGTTGCCTCATAGCATCAAATTAAGGTTTTTAAACATACTTCTGAATTGTTTAAATTGTTTTTCAAGGAACTAATGTGGTGTACTTGTTTGGGTAATTTCTGAAACTTTTTAACTTTGCAGCAGACGACGCTCTCGAAGCAAAAGTCCATTCAGAAAAGACAAGAGTCCCGTGAGGTAGCTGTTGTCCCTTTTTTTTTTATCTTTAGCACTTTCAGCTTTTGTAAAGCTTTTGCAACTTATGCTACTGTTAAATTTATTAATATTTAGTAATTTGGACTATGTTAAATCAGTGTGGATGTTTAAGTTTTCATTTTAATTCTCTATAAGAATGGAGCAGTGATTACAATTTTAAGGTGTAAGGTCCTACATGTGCTTTTAAATCCCTTTTAAATAATGGTAACTATAGAAAACTTTAAATAGACTTGCCTCTGCTTATCTTTGGAATTAATAAATTTTGAGTTACTAAAATACCCTCATGGGAAAATTGGTTGTACAGTCATGAGTTTTATTAATCTGGCTCTCTACTGAGATAAAGTACTTAATTTCCAAAATCTTAACCAAGTTGACTTGTTTCTTAGTAGTAGTCTTGTTATCAAATGTTTGTGAGTTATTTTCCTCTTAAATATAAGAGTCACTTATGAAGCCTACCATTTATTTTGGCTTAAGGAAAATTTTGATAAATGGCAGCATTGTTTACTGATACTCTTTCTGGCTTCCCTTAAAGGGCACCTTCCAACTTAGGGTTCTTTATTTGGTATATTTTAATTCTAGAATTTGATGTGAAAACCTTAATGATTTTAAAAGCTCTTTTTTTGTAACCTACTGAGCTTTTTTACATTGTTTAATATTTACTCTTGTAAGAAAGTCCCCTTTTCTCATTTTCTGGATGTAGTTTAGCTTTGTACCTCTGTTTTATAGTTTCAGATTACCTGCTGATTTACCAAGGAAATGTACCAGAATTTTGTAGGTGGAATATTTCAAAAGGACCTTCCTGAAAAGGTCCAGAATGTGGATAAGAGCATGTTTGTGCTTTTATCCTTAGGGTTTCACTTAGAACCTTAACCTTTAGTGATGTTTTTTAATAAGTAACATTAATAGGACTTCTAATTTTTTTCCATGAAATTAAGTTTCATCTCACGCTCTTTTACTTGAGCACTTTAGTTTCCTCTATATAATAAGAAGTGCTCTTGATCTTCAAGGCTGTCTGTAAAAATGAATAAATTGAATCCCACTACTGGTATTTATTTAGATAATTTCCTGCTTTTCATTTTTGATTTGTATATGGGTATTGTTTCTGTATTTTATAACCAAGAAACATTGCTTTGGATACTAAATTTGTAGAATCTGTAAGCCTTGATAGAATAAACAACCATGATTCCATGTATCTTATCTCAATTTGTTAAATTCAGGGGAAAAATCAGACTAAAATAGTTCTCACCATCTCAAGTTGGTCATCTATGATTGTCAAACTTTATTTGCCTTCATGGTCTTACGGTTACTTCATGGTCTTACGGTTTTGTTATGGAAAGTCATCCTTTCCACTAATTTGGACCATTCTGACATTGTAGCTAGTAAGTGGTTATTTTCTGTGACTATTCTTAAACTCTCAGGCTTTGGATTGGTCTTTCATTATTGTGCAGAAATTACAATTTGTAAGATTGAGATGCTAATGGACCTTTGTCCTGATACCATGTAAGATATTAGAAGAAGAAACATTAAGTAACTGTCTTGTTGAAGGAATTGAGTCACATTGAATTATTTTATGGACATTTTGTATACATTTTAGTGAAAATGAGCTTGGGAGGGGCACCCGGGTGGCTCAGACACTTAAGCATCTGCCTTCCACAGGTCATGATCCCACCTGGCACCCTGCTCAGTGGGGGGAGTCTGCTTCTCTCTCCCTCTGCCTCTTAACACTGCTTGTGCACGTGCTTTCTCTCTTCCTCACTCTCTCGTAAATAAATAAAATCTTAAAAGAAAAAATGGGCTTGGGAATAGTGACTACTTCTGGTAAAGTTTATTCTGTTTATTGAAAATGAACTTTGTAAGGTTATTTTAAGAATATAATTTATAAAATTGTTTATTTTTTATTCCTGTTAGGGAACCTATTGATAATCTAACTCCTGAGGAAAGAGATGCAAGGACAGTTTTCTGCATGCAGCTGGCAGCAAGAATTCGGCCAAGGGATTTGGAAGAGTTTTTCTCCACAGTAGGAAAGGTAAGTTTTTAGTCTATTTAGGGAGGTCGAGTAAATGGGAATTGTGAACAACATTTTAATAATTGTCAGTATGCCTGATTAAATTAGAGAGTATTTAAACACCAAATCTTTTGACTTAGTAGAATTCAGTTAGGGAAACTTTTGCGTAACATTTCTATTTTGCCTCAGTTGGAAATTAATAGTGTTGGAATTAATAACTATTATCACGTATTCAAAAGTAGAAGTGGACTGACAAGTTCACTTATTTAAAACATTGGGGGGCACTTGGCAAGTTCACTCGGAGGAACGTGCAACTCTTAATCTCTGGTCACGAATTCATGCCCCACTTTGGGTATAGAGATTACTTAAATAAATCACATCAGTAAAATTTCTTTAATGGTTTATGGTGGACGGTTGCATAAACAGAAGCTTCTGTTAAGTGTGTGTCTTCTTTTTAGGTTCGAGATGTGAGAATGATTTCTGATAGAAATTCAAGACGTTCCAAAGGAATTGCATATGTGGAGTTTGTTGATGTTAGCTCAGTGCCTCTAGCAATAGGATTAACTGGCCAACGTGTTTTAGGAGTGCCAATCATAGTACAAGCTTCACAGGTAATTATTTTCTTGGTTAGGAATTTGATCAGTGATCGTGCAAGAAACCTGCTGTTGCTTAGTGTTACACTATAGTGTCTTACATAATCATTAATTATTTGAGTTAGATGTTCTCAGAATAGCTTCTTCTTTTAAACTTTGTCTTGGTTACTTTGATAATAGTATATTCTCGACAACATTCTGTTCTAATATAAATTGTAAATATCTATTTCATGAAAAAGACCTGAGAACTTGGTCTAGAATTTTTTGATTTGTGATAATTTATTGGTTGGGGATAGAAGCATTTAAGAACATGTTTATCCTTTCTTTTAAATGGAGTGATTTTGACATTTTTAATAAATTCAGTATTTTCAGTGATAATACACTCTTGCATTAGATTTTATAAAATGTTAAGAGTAGTTTGAGCAGCTATCGTTTTCTAGCATTTCTTGAAGGTAAGATGTGTCAAGCTAATCTTGAGAATGTTTTCTGTTTAAAATGTCTTCTGTTTAATTCCTCTTTGCTGGTACTTTATTATATAGTAATCCAGTATTGCCTTTGGGAAATGAAATTAGCTTTAATAATATCAGTTCATTTAAATGTGGAGAAATTGAGATGTATCATTTTATTATATGAAAGTATTTTTAAGATACCTCATCAGTAGCTATTTTTATTAAGACCATTATTGATATGTTACTGCTTGCTAGCTCAGGTGTTTTTTTAATGGAGAATATAGGATTTAAAGAATATTTTCGAACAACACATAAAATAGTCATGTTGATAGCCTTCCAAACCACTGAAATAAGTACTCTGTAACTCCTCAGTAATCTGGTTACTTCATCAAACTTACATGATATTATAAAGTTAGGCACAAGCTTTGGAACCAGATCTGACTTTCCAGTTTTACTCACTGTTAATAAGCTATATGTAACATTGATCACATTAGTAGCTTCTGTCATATCTAAAAGACAATAATAGGTTCTATTTAGTGTTTTAGAAGTACTTAATATTGGGTATTTATCACTTGAATATATGTAAACAATAGGAGAATAATTGTTAGGAAATGGGAAAAATTAGTTCCTTGATTCACTTCCTGCAATGGAGGACAAAATAATAGTGTATAGATTGGCCTGAAGAGGGCTGAGAATCCTCAGATTAAATGAGGTTTTGAATTCATTCAAGTTTAACCTCCTTTGGACATAGATACTCAAAATGTCTCAATTTGTTAAAAGGAGCTTATGGTAGAATATGAATTAATAACCATTACCTTTGAGAAAGACTTCTTTCGGAAAAAATGACAGTTAAACTTGATGCTTCGCTTGATTTGATTTTATATTGACAAAACCCCTTTATGGCAGCCAGCCAGTTGGTGTATACTGTACTTTGAGTAACAATGATTTTGAGAGTACATTAATAATAATAACAAATGTATTTACAAATTCCAGGAGACAGTCTTTATTTTCCACATTTAGCATGTCTGATATCAGGATGCATCATTTAGATGGCATAGTGTACTTTTAGGATTGATTTCATTTTACATATGTAGTGGAGTGTATGATTGCTTTATATATGACTTGCATATGCTTGTAAAACTTTTAAAGTTTTTTGCAGCAAAATATATATCTTAAGTTGAATAAAATATTGAAGTTTTTGTTTAGAAAATTGGCATTGGAACCATTTTCTTAAAATTTTAATTCAGTGCCATTAATCACAGTCACACGTAAGTGGAATATTTGTCCTGTATATGACTTACTAAACTTAGAGTAATTTCATCGCTAACCTTGGCCATCACTAGTCATTAAGCAAACCCGAAGTGAATGGGATTTTACTATGATTAAATTGATTTGGATTAGTGCTGTGTGATGTGCATTTTGTCTTATCCAACTTGTAGGCAGAAAAAAACAGAGCTGCAGCAATGGCAAACAATCTACAAAAGGGAAGTGCTGGACCTATGAGGCTTTATGTGGGCTCATTACACTTTAACATAACTGAAGATATGCTTCGGGGAATCTTTGAGCCTTTTGGAAGGGTAAGTGCCAATATCTTCAATGATCCTTAATAGGTTCTTTTTTTTTTTTTTAAGATTTTATTTATTTATTTGACAGAGACACAGTAAGAGAGGGAATACAAGCAGGGAGATGGGAGAGGGAGAAGCAGGCTTCCCGCCGAGCCGGGAGCCCGATGCGGGGCTCGATCCCAGGACCCCGGGATCATGACCTGAGCCAAAGGCAGACACTTAACGACTGAGCCACCCAGGCGCCCCAATCCTTAATAGGTTCTTATCGAAATATAACTGCATAATAATTCTGTATATCTACTTTGTCATGTTTTAGTGAGGTTAATAGTAAGATGGGGAAGGGTGGTTCTGAAAGGGTTTTGTGGCATCGTAGATTAAGATAGTATCTCTGAAAGAAGGTAACATTTGAAGATAGTCTGTTAGTGTTGTCATTCATAATGCTGTAGTGAAATGTATAGAGTATCAGAAGCAATCTTTTTTTTCAAGTCAACATGAATGATAAGAGTATCCTGTGCATTTGGAACAAGAAATTATTTTTTCTTGGGCGGGGGGGGGGGATTTTTTATTTTTTTTTGTACAATCTACCTCCCCAGTGTGGGTGCCTGAACTCATGGCCCCAAGGTCAAGAGTCGCATGCTTTTCTGACTGAGCAAGCCAGGCACCCCCCTGTTGATGTTTTTTTGGATGCCTGTTTTTTACCTACTGAAAATTTAGGGGTAGGTAGAGAAGCCTCTCTGTCTACTACATTAAGGAGTTAGACTGTTTATGTCCAGTTGGTCCTCCTTTTAGCATTAACAGTTTATTTTAGAATAAATGTTAATACTAGTAAGTTGTAGTTTAAAAGATTCATTATGTGGCCATGAATAAAAATGTTGGTAACTGTTATATTGTATCCACTACTACTTTTCATTGCCCTTGGATATACTTTTTCACTGTTTCCATTCAACCCCTTTGTTAAACTGTTTGAATCAATGGTAAAAGCTGGGTGTTGATTGTGGGTGTTTTATTAAGTTAGAAATATGCACACGCTAGTGATGTACAAATGGTGTTCTTTTGTTTGTTTTTTTGGTCAGTCACTACAAAATTAATGCATTCCTGAAATTACCAGGATATGAAGAAATGTAGTACATCCATTCCGGAAAAAAAAAAAATTTTTTTTTTTTTTTTAAGAATTTTTTTTTATTCATTTGACAGGGGGAGAGCACAAGCGGGGAGAGTGGCAGGCAGAGGGAGAGGGAGAAGCAGGCTTCCAGCAGAGCAAGGGAAGCCCGATGTGGGACTTGATCCCAGGACCTCGGGATCATGACCTGAGCCGAAGACAGTCGCTTAACCAACTGAGCCACCCAGGCGCCCCCATGCTGTGTTTTAATTTTTCATGCTTTCTGTGTATGAACAGCTTTATTGAGATACTGTGATGTACACAAACTATACTTCACCTGCTTAAAGCGAACAATCCATTGCCTTTTAATGTGTTCACAGAGTTGTGCAGTGATTACTACAATCAGTGTTGATTTAATTCTTAAGATTTTTTTTTTCTTAAGATTTATTTGAGAGAGAGAGCAGGGTTGGGGGGGTCCGGGGGAGAGAGAGAGTCTCAGGCAAGCTGAGCGTGGAGCACCATGCAGGACTTGATCTCTCAACCCCTGAGATGATGAGCTGAGTTGAAACCAAGAGTCAGACATGTAACTGTGCCACCCAGCCGCCCTTGTTTGTAAGATTTAGTTATTTTTTAAAGATTTTGTCAGAAAGCGAGCACAAGCAGGGGGAGTGGCAGGCAGAGGGAGAAGCAGGCTCCCCACTGAGCAAGGAGTCTGATGCCAGACACTGGGATCATGACCTGTGCTGAAGGCAGATGCTTAATAGACTGAGCCATCCAGGCGTCCCAAGATTTTTATTTTTAAGTAACCTCTACATCCGCTGTGCGGCTTGAACTCAAAACCCTGAGACCAAGAGTCACATGCTCTACTGACTGAGCCAGCCAGGTGCTCTATTTTAGTTATTCCAACATCTTGGACAATTTATCATGTCTGGTATTATTGAGAATTAATGTTCGGTGTTTCTGACATAATGGGAAGGAAAGAAAATGTTAATTTTATTTCTAACACCTGATTGTAGTTTACAAGGGACCTCTGGTTTTTAGTGGTTTGTTTTTGAGGCAAAAGACTAAGATTGTACTTTTTTTTTTTCCTGCTCCACAGTGCAAACTTCTTGTTTGGGAAGTATCTAGGCTTTCAGAAGTTCTTTTGGAAGTGAGGGGTTGTGATGGTTTTTGTTTTTAGGGGGAGAGACTTTAAAAAATCATGTTTCAAGGAATAATATGCTTTTGCTTCTTTGCACTTACATAATTGTTCTTATTTTTAGATTGAAAGTATTCAACTCATGATGGATAGTGAAACAGGTCGATCTAAGGGATATGGATTTATTACGGTAAGCATTACCATTATTAACATTGTGACTTAAAGGTTTGATTTATTGACTTTAAGGTTTTAGATCAAAGTACCATAGTAAAACTTGATTAGTTATTGATAGTGGGGAAGGGTTCATGGTTAATATTTTTGAATGGTTTAAATTGGTTTCCCTTTAGTAGCCATGTTTACCAAATGTTGCCGTTAGCCAGTTTTCTATTATCCTGTATATAGTCAATTTGCGTAGCTAAGGCACCATGTAAATGAAATTTATGAACCCATTCATTATGAGTTCTTTGGTCTGTAATACTTTTATGATGTTTTTGTCAGTTGAATGAGTGTCTTGATATCAATTCTGTTTTACTTAAAATTACTATTATATGTATGCATCTCACAATCACAATCAGAATTAGTTATCAAGTAAGTGTTTTGGGGGGAGGTCCAGGGTGGCCCAGTTGGTTAAGCATCTGGCTCTTGATTTCAGCTCAGGTCCTGATCTTAGGGTCCTGATACCTAGTGCTGCATTGGGATCTGCACTGGGTATGGAGTCTGCTTGAGATTCTCTCTTCCTCTCCTGCTGCTCCTCCCCATGCTCACACATGTGTGCTCTCTCTAAATAAGTAAATGAAATCTAAAAAGTCTGTGGCTAACCTTCGCAGCCCATTCCCTGATGAGAGTGTTAGGTGCCAGCTGGAATAACTGTGAATGGAGGTGCCCCTTTAAAAGTAAACCCTCTTATGTTTTTATTTCCCGATGCAATTCAATTACATAATAGCAATTTTTCGAATGTTTGGTGTTAGAACTTTGGAAGGTTCTGAAAACTGCTATTTCTAGTCTAAAATGCAGATTGTTAACCATTGCTGCTGCCATAGAAAAAAAAATTTACAGATAGGTACCAGTTGTAATCAAGAAGTTATATAATTGTATTATATCCAAATTTGGCACCTGAGCGTTTCACTAGGTTAGGCATCTGACTCTTGATCTCGGCTCAGGTCATGATCTCAGGATCGTGAGATCCAGCTCTGCGTTGGGCTCCACACTGGGCATGGAGTCTGCTTGAGATTTTCTCTCTCCCCCTCTCCTTCTTTCTTAAAAAGAAAAAAAAAAAATATATATATATATATACACACACACACACACATATATGTTTTTTAGTGGTAAAGTTTTATTGGTCATTGGGATTTTCATCTTTATATACTGGTGAAAGGAGAAAAGTTTATATAACTGTTAATAACTTAAAAAAAAATTCTGAGAGTGAGTGAGTGAGAGGGAACAGGGGGAAGAGGGAGGGGGAAGCCAACTCCCCCAGTAAACAGGAAGCCCAACTTGGGGCTCAGTCCCAAGACTGCGGGATCATGACCTGAGCCAAAGGCGGATGCTTAACCCACTGAGCCACCCACGTGCCCCAGTAACATTTCGTTCCGAATAACATGAGTGTGGTTCTTTTCTTTTTTCCTCAAAATGGTGTGGTCAAGGGATTTTACACATAACTTGTATTAAATTGAGTATTTTACCATGTGTGACCTAAAGTAGTTTTTTACGTAATAGGTTTGGTGCTTAAATACTTAGTCAATAGTCGGTTTTACTAGAAACCTTATTAAATGTTAGGTAAAGAATAAAGGAATATTGGGCGCCTGGGTGGCTCAGTCGTTAAGTGGCTGCCTTCGGCTCAGGTCATGATCCCAAAGTCCTGGGATCGAGTCCCGCATTGGGCTCCCTGCTCAGCGGGAAGCCTGCTTCTCCCTCTCCCACTCCCCCTGCTTGTGTTCCTGCTTTCGCTGTCTCTGTCAAATAAATAAATAAAATCTTAAAAAAAGAATAAAAGAATACTTTGCAAAGCATTTTATTTTTTTTAAGATTTTATCTTGAGAGAGCGCGTGAAAGAGAGCATAAGAGGGGGTAGGGTCAGAGGGAGAAGCAGACTCCCCACCGAGCAGGGAGCCTGATGCGGGACTCGATCCCAGGACTCCGGGATCATGACCCGAGCCGAAGGCAGCTGCCCAACGAACTGAGCCACCCAGGCGCCCCCCAAAGCATTTTAATAGAAACATTTTTTTAAAGATTTTATTTGAGAGAGAACAAGCAGGGGAAGGGGCAGAGGGAGGGGTAGAGAGAGAAGCAGGCTCCTTGCTGGGTGGGGCTTGATCCCAGGACTCTGGGATCATGACCTGAGCCAAAGGCAGGTGACACTTGACCAACTGAGCCACCCAGGTGCCCCTATTAAAAACATTTTTAATATTAACTGTGTGAATTATTGGCTATGATTTAGTGATCTGTGTACAAAGCTAGATTATTTAAATTTACATGGTGCTGTGTGTTGGTAAATGTTTTGTAAGTATCTGTAATTTTTCCTCTTTGAATAAGAGAAAATGTTTTGAATCATACTGATGAAAGATAAGCAATGGGATTCCTGGGAGTATTTTTTTTTTTTTCCCCATTAAATGAAAATCAGAGTGTGCAACTAAGTTTGTGTTTGCATCCTGGGAATTAAGAATTTTCACAATTTAAAGAAAAAAACAATTTTTATGATTTTACTGGCAATAAAATGACCCAGAATTTTGTATTAAAAATAATAGCTGAACTTTTAATTTTTCTAAATAATTCTTTTTTTATGAAAGGGAAACAAAGCACTCTTTTAGTTTATTCCAGCACATTAGAAAGCGTTTTGTTGTTGGGCGCCTGGATGGGTCAGTTGGGAGACTGCCTTGCACTTATGTCGTGATCCTGGAGTCCCGGGATGGAGTCCTGCATAGGGCTCCCTGCTCAGCAGGGAGTCTGCTTCTCCCTCTAACCCTCCCCCTTCTTGTGTGCTCGCTCTCTCTCTTCCTTGCTCTCAAATAAATAAAATCTTGAAAAAGTGTTTTGATGTTAGAAAAAGTACTTTACATATTCTGTTACTAAGATTTTGTATTTCCAAAGATAGATGTCATTGTTTGGTAATATCTTGCTGTTCAAACCATCACATCAGCAAAGCTGATTTGAATGAGCTTGTGGTCTGATCATACAGGTTATATTACTTAAAGCTAGAAATTTCCACTTATTATCCACCCAGTTGTGTAATTATTGAATAGACTAGACTTAATAAGTAACCATTTCTTTACCTTAGGTATATATGTGAACTAACAGACTGGACTTTTTATCACCCCTCTCTCAATTATAGTTTTCCGATTCAGAATGTGCCAAGAAGGCTTTGGAACAACTTAATGGATTTGAGTTAGCAGGAAGACCAATGAAAGTTGGTCATGTTACTGAACGTACTGATGCTTCCAGTGCTAGCTCATTTTTGGACAGTGATGAACTGGAAAGGACTGGAATTGACTTGGGAACAACCGGTCGTCTCCAGTTAATGGCAAGACTTGCAGAAGGTAAGTTTTTCCATGTGTTGTGAATGATTTATTGTGGATATGGTAATGGAAAGCTAACCCTCACAGACTAATAAATGAAAAAATATTTTTTTCTTATTTTGGAGTTGACCTTTGCCTTGGGTGGTATATGCAATTTCATAGATGAGGTTACTTAAGGTTCTAATGGAATCTACTTTATGGTGGTGCTTCTTGAGTGCCACAGCATACATTATAGGATTCCTTTTGCTTTCTTACAATTATATTCTCATACTTAATAAACTTACTTTCCAGTATTATACCGTGTCCTGTTTGTAAATACTTCCGGTGAAGTGACTTTGGTAGTAGTAGTAACCCGGAAATTTGGGGGTTTTTTTTGCCCTTACCATGGTAAGGACTATGAGATCTATTTCTTTCACACAGGTACAGGTTTGCAGATTCCACCAGCAGCACAGCAGGCTCTACAAATGAGTGGCTCTTTGGCATTTGGTGCTGTGGCAGGTAGGAATTGAATCTCTTCTAATTTGAAATCACTGTTTTTTCACCTAATTCGAAAATTTGCCAAATTTTTGCATTTAAAAGGACTTACTGAGAATTCAATTCATAAGTACTTTTTAGCCTGTAAATTTAAAGGAAATGGAGATACAGACTGGAAGTATTCACTAATAATAGTAGGCTATCAGGGCATTTTTTTTTGAATACTACATACTATTTTTTAGTTTGAATTGCCTGTTAGACCTTTTTAAATACATGAATTTTCTTAAACACCATTGTTTCAAAAAACGTTTCTTTGTAATATTTGAGTTGAGAAAATTATCAGGGGCCTTTAAATCAAGCTTTATATAAAATAATTACAGTATCAAGAGTGCAAAGAAAACTGCTTTCTTCTACATGGTATTTTGAGATTTTCACTTAGGGGAATGGGAGCTCCTGAACAGGGTAGGAAAATAGAGAAGTGATGGTTTATTACGGTTGTGTAACGAGGGGTTTAGTTTATGAAACATGGTTTTCATTATGGCTTAAGTACCTCAAGTTTGCTTTTATAAACCTTGATGCTAACTCAATCTATGAGCTAGGGTAGCATTTAATTTTGAAATGTTGAAGACCTTGCTTTTAGAAGACCTAAGAAGAGCCATTTGTATTTTGGACCTTGGAAGACAGGAAATATATATCCCAAGAAAGTATGGCACTTTGTATTAATGAATTTTATCTATAAAGAGGGCACGTTCTGCATGGAGCCCTGGGTGTTATACACAAACAATCATGGAACACTACATCAAAAACTAACGATGTAATGTATGGTGATTAACATAATAATAAAAAAAGTGAGGGGCGCCTGGGTGGCTCAGTCATTAGGCGACTACCTTCGGCTCAGGTCATGATCCCAGGGTCCTGGGATCGAGCCCGGCATCGGGCTCCCTGCTTTGTGGGAAGCCTGCTTCTCCCTTTCCCACTCCCCCTGCTTGTGTTCCCCCTCTCACTGTGTCTCTCTGTCAAATAAATAAAATCTTTAAAAAATAAAGTGAGACTCTTGACAAAATCTAAGATCACAGTACTGCATCTGAATATACAATAAAGGTCCATGTGGTTGATTCATGATTTCCATTTAAATCAAAAGCTCATTAATTAAAGGAGAGGATCATTTTTGCTTTTATATTTTGTTATTAAGAGAGAAGGGCCTTTTCAGTGTTTTCTTTTTAGTGGATGTCTACAAGTTTGTGAGTAAGTTTAGAAAATCTGCCTTTTGTGTTTTTGTGTTTCACCTGTCAGATTATATTATTTATTTTGAAATCTGATAGGTATTTATAAAACTTCTGACAAAACTGGGGCGCCTGGGTGGCTCAGCAGGTTAAGCATCGGTCTCTTGATTTCAGCTTAGGTCATGATCTCAGGGTTGTGAGATCCAGCCCCACCTCGTAGCCGGGCTCCACACTGGGCATGGAGTCAGCTTGAGATTCTCTCCACCTCTCCCTCTGCCCCTCCCACTCATGCTGTTTCTTTCTCTCTCTCAAATCTTAAAAATTTTTCTGATAAAACCATGCTAGTTTATCCTTGGGGGGAAAAAATCATAACCATTAATGGATTTCTGTATTTTTTGGTCACTGGGTAACTCCCCCAAGTATCACTAAATTGTTTTGACTTTATAAACAAGTATTAGACATTTAATTTCTTGAGTGACCAAATAGCCAGAGAATGCCATTTGATATAATCAAAGACATTTAAGGAACCCATCCCTTCCAGAAATGTAACTCAGTCTATGGTTTTAAACTTGCTATTTAAGGGGCGCCTGGGTGGCTCAGTCGTTGAGCGTCTGCCTTCGGCTCGGGTCGTGGTCCGAGGGTCCTGGGATTGGAGCCCCGCATCGGACTCCCTGCTCCGCGGGTAGCCTGCTTCTCCCTCTCCCCCTGCTTGTGTTCCCTCTCTCGCTGTGTGTCTCCCTGTCAAATAAATAAAATCTTTAAAAATAAATAAATAGACTTGCTATTTAAATCTGAAAACTGAATCCTCCTATTACTTCCCATTGTTCAGATCATTCTTTTAATAATTTAGAAAATGCTTGTTTATCATATTCTAGGTATTTACTAGAGGCTAGTGAATATTTGTCCACTGTCTTCAGGGATTTGGTGTAGTAACATAGGATTCGTTTCTAAAACGTTATATCCTGGGTGCGGTGTCAAATATGTTGATTCACAATGTTCTTCATAAACCATATCTTCACCTAATTGAAGATTTTTGAAAATTAGACCTTTTTACTTTTCTTAGCCATTACTTCTCGATGCATGATGTATGGCTACAACTTGGGCACACTTACTGTGCAAGTTTATAGTTAAGGTGGGCTGATTGTGATCAACTAGAATTCTATAAAGGTGAATGTGGATTGGTTAAATAGCCAGTTATCTGTATTTTTTTATATTTACCCTTACTAGTGTTTATTGAGATGATTATATAAGGTTTGATTCTGTCTTCTTACACTTCCTATAGATTGCTATTGCTACAGAATTAATAATCACTCAATTTTTAGGTAAATCTTTACATTAACTCGTTATTTTTCTCCAGATAGTCATCATTGAAACCTTACTTTTTGTTGAAATGCTGTAAATTGCTGAGTGTTAATGTGTCCAAAGCCCTTTCTCCTAAGTTCTTTAAAGCTGTTTTTTAAAACCAAGGGTGAGTCATCACTCTATGTACTTTATTTTAGAAATTTAACAAGTTGTTTCTAAGATAGATTCCTTATCTTTATGAAACCTATGCTTTGTTTCCTAACTTGTCCCAAATGACCTATAAAGTCATTTTTGAAATCTTGATAGTTACTTACATACCCTTAAAATAGTGTGGATTTTTTTTTAAGTTTCATTTATTAAACTCTACATCCAATGTGGGGCTTGAACTCACAACCCTGAGATCAAAAGTCCTGCGCTCTTCTGACTGAGGCAGCCAGGCATGCCATAGGATAGGTTTTTTATATCTGTACCTTTTTTCCTATTGTATGGAAAGAAAAGATAAATTGGGTTACAATTTGAAGTTTGACAGTGTTTCTATGGTCCTATCTTCATGTTCCTTCAGAATATACCAGTTACGTTTCTTCATCTCCCTCATATACCAGTTTTGAGCACCTAGGAACCAGGTATTTTTTATCTCCGCGTAACTGGGGGTACTGATCCCTTTTCCTTTTTGCCAGCCCCCCCTTTGAGATTTTATTTTTAAGTAATCTCTACATCCATTGAGGGGATTGAACTCAGAACCCTGAGATCAAGTTGCACTGTCCACTGACTGAGCAAGCCAGGTGCCGTTTTTGCCCAGTTTTAATTTTTTTCTGTACACAGCAAGACACCCAGATGATAAAGTGTTGCAATTGAATCACATGTTAATGAAAATTAGGTTACTGGATCTAAACAATTTTTATATTGTGTGTAGTTTTATAATTTTAAGCTTCAAGATAGCACAATGACATTTTGTTTATTTACACTTGTTGCTGTTTTGAGTGCCAAGCAGCTTTCTGTTAACTTGCCTTCCAGTGGAGAATTTAATGATTATACGGGGAAATATATTGGTAAAAATCCCCATTCTGTTTTTAATAGTGACTAGATGATTAAATTCTTCTTGTTTTTCATAGATTATAGTAAAGTTGGTTAAAGTTTATTCCTGCTTCATTAAATTTCCATACTATGCCAGGAAACCAGACCTAATTAAACTGTCATCTTCTCGGCCAGAGTTGAATATCCCAAGTACTTGGAATTGAATTCTCAAGATCAGGGTTTTCATGGATTTTCTGACCGGTGTGCTTCCCTTTCCCCATTTCCCATTATTCCCATGTGAAGGGTAGTATAGTGGAATACATAGATGTGGAATAGTACTAGGAGTAGGGAGACAGAGGCATAAGTAAGTTTCCTAGGATAGGAGGAAAGAAAAAGGCCCCAAAGCCTTGTCAATGAGGAATGGGGAAGGAGGTTTGGCTGCCAGGTTTTACTATAAGTTTATTTTGATAAACCCTGCTATGTAGTCCTCTTTTATTAATGCTTTCCTGACATTTACCCTGTTAGTTGAGGCTCTTCATTGTTCCTGCACTGAGCTGTAGAATTCTCTTTTGTTATAGATTTGCAAACAAGACTTTCTCAACAGACTGAAGGTGAGTTGAGCTTTTTATTTGTCTTTGAAATACATGTCAATGTAGCAAGACATAGTGTTATATCACTTGTTACGTTTTGTATTTTGGATTGTTTTTGAAGAATGACATAGTATGGTATATATACAGTAAGCCATCTATTAATATATATTTCATTTGGCTTAATCCAAATCATTATGACTATGGATTAAAATTAAAATGTGCATGTGCATTTTTTGCCTTAGTTTGCTTAGAATTATTTTTAGTCTTGTATGCTTATTTTTTGTGTTCTGATAGTTTTGTATAGAAGTCAGAAAATGGAATTTGTTCTAGTACACAAATCTTTCAGAAGTCTGACTTAACGTAAGGTTAAGGACTCTAACTTCAGTGATATGTATTAATAGTACCAAGTAGTGAGACAATTACCCAGAACTAAATTGCATGCATATTTCAAAGATTGAAATAATTATTTCTAAAGTAGGCTTTTTTTTTCTTATTTTTGATTACCAAATCTCTGCTATTTGTTTAGAGCATTTTGCTCTTGAGCTAATTCAGTATCCATCTTTCATAGGTTCTAATTAAAAGTTGTTTAGGAGAATGATTCTATATGAAAAGGTCTACCATGTTCCTTGATAGGAATTAAATGCGTATTTTAATTTTTTCCAGCAAGTGAGACAGTTACACTCCATCCTTTCTTTCGCAGCAGATTTTAAAAAGTGTAACTAGTGGAATTTCTGTTAGCTATATTTCCATGCTGAATTCATTGTGTTCTGCATTCATCTAGGTTGAGCTGGAATGTTCCTATCAGATATTTAAAAAATTTTTTTCAGTACTCCTAATTCATTTAAGAAAATGGAAAAAATAAAGTACTCCTCAGTTGTTTTGTAATGACCTAGTGTTTATTTTCAAGAATACTTCCATTTGTTTATGATAAAGTACACAGTGGGCCTCATTTTCATATTCATTATAACATAAGCATCATACATCTTTACCTTTTCTGAATGGAATATGACATCTGTTTGCTTTTTTAGCATTTATATTTTAATACAAAGCTTCATGAAAGAAAATACTATTGAAGTAATAAAGGGGCAAAACACCTGTAATTATAACAAATAATTTTTTATGATGTATTTCATGCATGGCCCTAATTTTTATTCAGTGAAATAATTTCTGATACTTCCTCAGGTGATGTAATTTTAATTATCATAATTTCTAATGCGCTGTTTTATCCTTAGCTTTGTTTGTTGTTATATATTGGAATGAAATTTGGTCAAATAAAATGATTACGGTGAGTTCTGTAACAGCTACTGGTAATGTTTTGTGAATCACATATAAAAGCAATGGGGCAGCTGTCTTGGACAATGCTCTCACTTCAAACCTAAAACCAGTATGGCTTTAAAATGTTCCTTCCGGATATTAGTGTCTAGTAGTTTTTTATTTTTAATAGTGAGTATTATAATATTATTGATATGTGCTATTTTTAGTGTTGTGCTATGACAGACCTAGTCATTTAAAAAATACTCATTTGATTTTGAAATAGGGTTTATATTGCTGGGATATTAAATTGTAAATGGTCGGATGGTTTTCTGCATCTTCTTTGTTAATCCTTCTATGATGTTTATTTAAAAGAAAATATGTAACTATATTCATGGGCAGAAACCTAAGAAAAGATTGTATTTTCATCATCCCGTTTCTTGGGGTTAAGCAGTTCTACAAAATCAGTCTTCTGTTTTATTCTTTGCCTTTCTGGATTGATTTGTACTGATACTTGTTTAATTGAATGAATTTTGATCACACGTAAAGTTTAATTTCCCTTCTAAAAATAAAATTTCCAACTCAGTGAAGATTGGCTATTTCAAATGTTAGGTTGCTTCAGTTTCCTGGCAACTCAAATCAGGTATTGTTACACACTTCCATCACACTATTAATAAGTAAGGTAAATTAGGGAAGGTGACTATCTTAGTTTCACAGTTGCGATTTAGTGGGGTTTTTTTGTTTTATTCATCAGGGCTATTCTGATGCATTTTCCATGAAACTAACTTCTTTCTCTCTCTTTTTTTTTTTTTTTAGCTTCAGCTTTAGCTGCAGCTGCCTCTGTTCAGCCTCTTGCAACACAGTGTTTCCAACTTTCTAACATGTTTAACCCTCAAACGTAAGTAAGGGTATACCAGTGACACTTGAACAATGCGGGGATTACCAGTGCAGACTCCTGCCTGCACAGTTGAAAATCCATGTGTAAATTTTGACTCCCCCTAAAACTTAACTGCTAATGGCCTACTGTTGACTTAAAGAGTTACAGTAACATAAACAGTTGATAAACATGTATCTTGTATGTTACATGTCTTCTGTAGTGCATTCTTATAATAAAGTTAGAGAAAAGAAAATCTTAGAGCAACTACATTTATAGTGCTGTACTGCATAGGTGGACTTGTGCAGTTGAAACCCATGTTGTTCAGTGGTTAACTATACTGTGAAAGTATTAATATTCAGCATTTTTAAGTTAACATTTTGGATACTTCAATATATTTTACAGTTCAAATAGTAAACAACAGTTTTCATCCTTTTAGGGTATTTTAATAACTTTTTTATTGCTAAATCATTTGGGTATGTTTGTAAGATTGGAAATGAAGTAAAAGGTACGCAGATTTTGTTTACCAATTAGTAGTTTTCTCAGAAGTTTTGTTATCAGTGTTTATCACTTGTAGTTCACATACTTTGTGTTCCATTAGTTTCAGGCTCATAACATTTCTTCTTCAACTCCACACCTTATGCTATATGCTCACTATAGGTGTAGCTTACCATCTGTCACCATATAAGGCTGTGACAGTACATTGACTATATTCCCTATCTTGTACTTTTCATTGTTGTTGACATACTATTTCCTTAACTGAAAGCCTGTACTTCCCACTCCCCTTCACCCATTTTACTCAGACCCTCCTCTCCTCTGGCAGTCACCATTTTGTTCTCTGTTTATGGGTCTGTTTCTGCTTGTTTTGTTTGTTCGTATGTGTATTTGTGTTTATTTCTATTGTCAATTTACTCTGCTACCAGTTCTTGGCTTTGAAATTTTAATAACTATTTTAATCTTTTATAGGAGAAGAGGATCTTTTTAAATATTCTTCTTAGATTAATGCAGGCCAGGAATTAGGAATTTCTCTTTCCTCATGCCTAGGCACAATGATTAGAATGCCATTTATTTATCAGTCCAAACTCTTCTGTTTTGTTATAATACATCCCAAGGTAAATGTAGATACCTGTTCAGTTGATTGGATAAATGAACCATTATATTATATATATATAACATATGTTTTATGAAATAATGTGTTACATGCTGTTTGCATTGTTTATATTAGTTCATGGTTTACCATAGAAAGAGAGCCTTGGATTCTTGTGTTCTTTTGGTAACAGCAAAAAAAAAAAAAAAATTTTTTTTTTTTTTTAAGATTTTATTTGTCAGAGCGAGCACAAGCAGGGGGAGCAGCAGACAGAGGGAGAAGCAGGCTCAATGAGCAAGGAGCCTGATGTGGGACTCCATCCCAGGACCCTGGGATCATGACCTGAGCTGAAGGCAGATGCTTAACCTACTGAGCCACCCAGGTGTCCAGAGAACACCAGATTCTTTATTTTAGCTTTATCTGGGAAATGATAAACTGTTGGTATACGAATCATTTGATATATGTCAGTAAGTACTTTAAATGTTAGAGTTAAGAAATTCATAAGCTGGGATGCCTGGGTAGCTCAGTTGATAATTGTCTGACTTTGGCTCAGATTATGATCTCAGGTTCCTGAGATCAAGCCTGGTGTGATGAACTCCACAATCAGTGGGGAGTCTGTCTCCCTCTCCCTCTGCCCCTTCCCCTGCTCACATGCACACACCCATGCCAGCTCTTTCTCTCAAATAGTCTTTTAAAAAAAGAAATTCATAAGCATTGTTCGAAACAGTGCCTTATATCTTGTTTTTGATTTTCTCCAGTGCACTACATTCTTATCAATAAGTTTTAAATTAATTAAGTGAATTCATATTTAAAATATTTTTATACAGATGAGTATGTAACATTATATAAGTTTGAATGGTATCTAATAGACCTTAATATTTATTTGTACAGAGAAGAAGAAGTTGGATGGGATACAGAGATTAAGGATGATGTGATTGAAGAATGTAATAAACATGGAGGAGTTATTCATATTTATGTTGACAAAAATTCAGCTCAGGTATTTTATTTTTTTCCCTAAAGCCAGAAAAGTTTAATCTGCCCTTTATGTACCTCACTTCAGGTGTTGTGATACTAATAAAAATAGAATGTTGTTCCTCTTTTATGACAGCCTTCACACATACTTGGGGCAGATTACCACTGTCCTATCCCAGGAAGTTATTTTGTTTTTTAATTCTGAAAGAAATTTTAACATCGTGACTGATGACTATATATCCTCCAACTTAAGGACAGTCCTCTAATAAGTGAAGATTGGACCAAGCCATTGTGTAGCAGTGTTGCTGGGTAGTGTTGAAAGTTTGGCATGAAATCTGGCATCTTGATTCATTCTTCATCTGCTTTCAAGTCATAGAAAAAAAAAAACAAGTTTGGGGAGGATAAAATGATTTCAATAAAATTCTAGGTGTACATGTTAGCTAATAAACAAGTATTTGGTTATAGAGCTCTGAGGGTTTTTTAACAGGCAATTTGTAAAAATCATATACCACCCTTATCTTTTTGTCGTTGTATTTCAGGGCAACGTGTATGTGAAGTGCCCATCAATTGCTGCAGCTATTGCTGCTGTCAATGCATTGCATGGCAGGTGGTTTGCTGGTGAGTTTGATCTGTTTTTCTGAGTGATTATAATGAAAGATGTAATTTAAGTGAAAACGCTAAACCCTCGATTCTGTTTCTTTCAACAGGTAAAATGATAACAGCAGCATATGTACCTCTTCCAACTTACCACAACCTCTTCCCTGATTCTATGACAGCAACACAACTACTGGTTCCAAGTAGACGATGAAGGAAGATATAGTCCCTTATGTACATAGCTTTTTTTCTTTCTTGAGAATTCATCTTGAGTTATCTTTTATTTAGATAAAAATAAAGAGGCAAGGGTCTACTGTCATTTGTATACAATTCCTGTTACCTTGAAAAAATAAAACTGTTAACAGGAATGCAGTGTGCTCATTATCCCTAACTAGCAAATCCCACTGTATACAAAGCTGTTCTCTTGTTCTGCCTTTTAAATGTACATGTAGAAATTTACATTAAGGATCTATAGGAATAGCTCTAGGGGGGAACAAATGTGCTTAATGTAAAAAGGCAGACAGGGATGTAATTACGTTTTTAATGTTTCAGAAGCCTAACTTTTTACACAGCAGTTACATTTCACGTTTAACTAATGTTGATACTTGGCTAATGGTTTAGCAGATTCTGGAGTACACATTTAGTGTATGGAAATTCAAGACAGCTAAAGGGCTGTTTGATTAACATCTCATCTTGCATCGTGATCAATTGGCAAGAAAAGGAGTTTTCAAGATTACATTTCTGGATGGTATCTTTTCAATTAATGTATCTGTAAAAGTTTCTTTGTAAATACTATGTGTTCTGGTGTGTCTAAGATTCCAAACAAAATGATCCCTGCATTTCCTCAAGATGTTTAGTGACAGTCTGGTAAGCAAAGCAGTCTGAGCAAGAAATAGGAAATGCAGAAATAGGTTTTGTCTGGTTGCATATAATCTTTGCTCTTTTTAAGCTCTGTGAGCTCTGAAATATATTTTTGGGTTACTTCAGTGTGTTTGACAAGACAGCTTGATATTTCTATCAAACAAATGACTTTCATATTGCAACAACCTTTGTAAGAACCACTCAAATAAAATTCTCTTAAAAAGGCCACAAGAAATCTTTATTTTTGAAGTGTTTTAAAGTCATAGAAACTCGAAAGTAGAATATTAGTTTCTTTGACTTTTAGTAGTATTCAAGACTTGCTTCTTGGGGAAAATTCTTAGTGTGCAGAGTCTGGGAAGACTGTTGCCCTCAAGTTGTCTCTCTGTATTCCTCCATTTCACTATATCTTAGCACTGTACTTACTAGGGTAATGTATCAAAATCTTAGGGATTTTCTAACAAAACCAAACAAATCCACCTAGGCCTTAAACCTGGGTTTTTTTTTTTTTTTTTTAAGGTTTTATTTATTTATATTTGAAAGCAAGAGCACATGAGAGGGGGGAGGGTCAGAGGGAGAAGCAGGCTCCCTGCCAAGCAGGGAGCTCGATGCGGGACT